ACAAGGAGTCCAGCTCCACCCTGGCTGGCGATCAGGACCTGAGCACCCACTGTCCTTCTGCTGGTGGTGAGTCCTAGCCTGTGCTATCAGTGGTATTGCTTGGGAAGACATGACAAAAAAGAAGAATCAAGCACAGAACACAGCATTTTTGAAAAATAAAAAATACACAGTAATAGAAAATAGATTTTACCAGTAAAGAGAAATGCAGGGTTTTTTTTTTTTTTAATACATAAACTCACTGCCCCCCTAAGGTTCCTATAGAATCTTTCCTGTTGTCAATTTGATCTCATATAGTTCTTGAAAGAGCATAATGCTCAAGGCAAGCCTTTTTTTTTACTAGTTAAGCTAAACTATTGTTCAGGTTTAAGATGACTTCAGGGAATATTTGGTTTAATGTTCAAAGATTATCTCAAGGCAATAGTGTCATTCACCGTCTGTCATGGTTTGAATTATGTCACCCCAAAAATGTATGTATCAATTTGGCTAGGCCATGATTCCTGGTACTGTGTGATTTTCCTGTACGTTGTAAATCTGCCTCTATGATGTTAATGAGGGAGGATGGGTGGCAGTTGTGTTAGTAAGGCAAGACCTGATCTACAAGACTGGATTGTGTCCTGAGGCAATCTCTGGAGATATAAAAGACAGAAGTGAGCAGTGAGACAAGGGGACCTCATACCATCAAGAAAGCAGTGCCGGGAGCAGAGCGCGTCCTTTGGACTGGGGTCCCTGCGCCAAGAAGCTCCTAGTCCGGGGGAACACTGATGAGAAGGCCAACAGAGAGAAAAAGCCTTCCCCTGGAGCTGACGCCCTGAATTTGGACTTTTAGCCTACTTCGACAGTGAGGAAATAAATTTCTCTTCGTTAAAACAATCCACTTGTGGTATTTCTGTTATGGCAGCACTAGATGACTAAGACACCGTCCATGGCTCCAGAAAGGCTAGAGTCCATGAGAAGTTGAAATTCTGTTCTGCATTTTCCCCCTTTGGATCAGGATTCTTCTATGGAATCTTTGATGACAATATTCAGTAATGGTAGCCAGGCACCAACCAGTTCTTCTGGTCTCACGGCAAAGGCAGTTTTTCACGGAGGCAATTAGCCACACTTTCCATTTCCTCCTCCTATTCCTGACTCTCCTTCTTCATCTGTTGCTCCAGGTGAATAGAGGTCAATTATTGTGCCTTAAATGGACACTTGAAGCTTTTAAGACCCCAGGCACTGCACAACGAACTAGGAGGCAGAACAGAAGCACTAACCATGTTATTAGGCCAATTAACTGGGATGTCCCGTGAAACCATGACCCTAAACCTCCAAACCAAAGAACCAAATCCCACGAGGTGTTTGGTTGTATATTAAGCAGCCTCAGCAGCTACTTTTTTTGTCATTGTAAATATATCACACCACCTTTGCCAATGCAACTTTTTAGAGGTGTACAACTTATTGACAGCAATCATCAACTGTGTAGTACCCTTAATCAATGCAATCTTTCCATCACTGTTAACCTCCCTTTTCCCTCTCCCTCCCGCCCCTGGTAACCACTAATAAACTTTGGGCTCTGTACATTTGCCTTTTCTTTTCTTTTGTGTAAGGTCATACAGTATTTGTCCTTTTGTGATTGATTTCACTCAGCATGCCTTTAAGCTCCATCCATACTGTAGCCTGTATCAAGACTTCATTTCTCCTACTGGTTGAGTAGTATTCCATTGTATGTATGCACCACATTTTGTTTATCCATTGTCTGTTGATGGGCACTTAGGTTGTTTCCACCTTTTCGCTATTGTGAATAGTGCTACAGTGAACACTATTCAAGTCTCTGCTTTCAAGTCTTTTGGGTATATACCTAGTAGTGGAAGGACTTGCTGGGTCATATGTTAGTTCTATTTTTAGTTTCTTGAGGAATCGCCACACGGTTTTCCAGAACAGCGGTACCATTCTGCATTCCCACCAGCAATGAGTAAGCCTTCCAGTTTCCCCACATCCTCGCCAACATGTTATTTTTTCTTAGCCATCCTAGTGGAGTGAAATGGTGTCTCTCGGAGGTTTTCATTTTGAAATGCAGTATTTTAATGACTTTTAAAAATCTAAGCTGACATTTGGCTCCAGGAACAAGTATACTGAGCTAACAGAAAATCCATAGGAAATGTAACACAAAATTCTAAAAACAAAACAAAAAACACCCACATAGCTTAAGCTTACAAGACAGACAACCAAATGCAAAGCGTATCAAAAGGAGCTCATACGGGCATAGTAATTACTTCTGAGGGAGGAGGAGGAAAGGCTGGCAGGTATATTAGCCCTATGTGTATTATGTGTAAGATTCTTTTTTTTAACATGAAAAGAGAAAAAAATTGGGCCTCATGTAGCAAAACATTAACATCTCTTCAGTCTGCTGAGTGGTGGGAACATGAACGTCTGTTAGGTGGTTCTGTCCTGAACTGTATGTTTGAAATATTTCAGTCTTACTAAAAAAAATTGGCTTATCTCAGCTTTTTCCTATTATTCCTTTTTCTAATTGCGGGAAGATTACTCATAACAGTTACCATTAAAACAGATAAACATATTGTTGGCACGTTAACAGACCTAACCTTGCATAACTCCTGTATTTTTATTCTATTTGTGTATAATACCTTATGAAGTTCTTCATATATGCTTTTCTTTCTACGATTTTCTCCCCTTACACCTCCTTCTCAGTCTAAGAAAAGACTTCTTCACGATTCAAAGTGCCAGTTCCTCTGTGAAACTATCCTGAACTCTTCCGGAGTTCACCACTCCTTCCTCCAAAGGCATTTTGGGCATCCTTCTAAAATAAAAATTAAAAACGCTCATTGTATTATAAGGTAACTATTTTTCAGCTCCTTGTAGGCAAGGGTAGTGGTTTATTCTCTCTGGGTAGGGAACTCATTAAATGATTTTAGAATGAATTATTGAAAGAAAAAAATACAAAATAAATTACAATGTTCACTTACATAAAATAAGAGCTTGTTATCATCCGGATGTCCAGGGCCCTCCTTAGTGCAAAGCCCATCAGTCACCTTAGTTGCCATGCTTGTCAGGATAAAATACATGTAAGGGCTCAGCTAGCAGGCAACTCTGGATGCTGAATCTGTACTGGTCTTGGTTGGGCCCAATTTCCAGCATGGCTCTGAATCTCAAAATGGGGTAACTCAAATCTGGCAGGATATTCTAAGGTCTTTAAGAGAGAAAGCACAGAGACTGGACTGACTTGTATGTATGTTCAGCCTAGCATCTTCGTGCAACAGTAGAAGAATATAAAATGTTTTCCCCACAATTGTTTATAATGCAGTCTAGAAGAGCCTGCAAGCATACGCCGATTTTCTCCAAAAGTCTGTAATCACGATGGGAAAAAAAAAAGCCATACTGAGAGCCCCAGTGCTCTGCTTCTCAATAGTAAAAACCAGATGCAGACATGACTGCTGTGAACGTGTCAACTGTAAGACTTGAAAGGTAAACTCTTTCTTTTTAACTAAGGTCAGTATCTCCTTCTCTTTATAAGTCTGTTTCAGTAGAGTACATAAGCTACTATATGCTAATTTAAGGTTGTTTTAATTATTTTCCCAAGTGTTTATAATGTGACTAAGCAATTTCTTATACCATTTTTAAACAATTAAAGTTTCAAGGACCCCTTAGAATATTATTTTCATATTGAAGAATCCTTCAATAAAAAAGAGTTCTCAGGACAGGCCCAGAATTCAGTTCTACAGATGGAATTAAATGACTCTGAAATTAACAAACACACACAAGTATTTTTAAACTACTGTTTAATCAGTTTTAAAGACACACAAATTAGAAAAAAAACATTTATATGTAAGTTAAAAACACCTTTAAAACCTAGCAAGAAGCCACCAGTGCAGCTCTGAGGACACAGACTAGAAATGAGTCGTTATTAAAACATCACAGCACAGTGTAACTGACACAGTGGTATTTTTAATCTACCGTACAAGAACTAATATATGGATTTGTTGAAAAATAACACTTCTTTAAAAAAATATTTTGGAATAATAAAAACAAAAAGCACAGAACACCACATTATATCTCGACCAGGGAAGGCAAATGTAAATACTGTAAATACTGGCTGCTGGAGCTGAGTCTCTCCTGTTGGGGTATCCGAACGTTCAACCACTTCTAGGTAGGGATAAAGAAACAACTTTTAAAGGAAGGCAGGAATGAAATCACACATTTTCACTCCAAATGTGGAAGAATTTATCTTGTTTCACCTGAATTATTTATACTTTCATTCCTATTGCTTTATTCTGTGCCCCTCTGGTCTGAAGAAGCCTCGTCTCGGTGAGCGAAGATGAAGACTGGTTTGGAATGCACTGGTAATGAAGGTTTGATTCCTTTTTCCTTGTGATGAAAAGTCAGAAGCAAAGGTACTTCACTGACAAATCAGTGTGTATAGAACCAAAAATATGTAAAATTGGGAAAGAGGCCTATTTTAAGACTGCTTGTCAAACTCTCTCTACATATATGTTTGCCCTTTAATGGGAAAGGGCAGGAAAGAATATTAACAAATAAAATTTCTCGAAGAGGTTAACCCAAAACAGAGGCTAGACAGTAACAGTCATTTAAAACTCTGGTGAAAGGCAGCCAGTCATGTTTTCCATTTCAAACACTTCATGGATAAATTGGTAAGTCATTTACTTACGCTGCTCTGTAACTTTAGGTTTTGCATTATATTTCCATTTCTTTTTACAGTAGTAAAATTTGATGACACATTGACTGGAGAGATGGCTATGCACCATTGAGTAAGCTTTAGACAGGGATTTTACATGATCTTTATACTATTATTTATAGAACATATAGTCTTGGGTTTGTTCTTTTTCATTTTCTTTGCTTTATAAAAGTTGTACTAGAAGAAGACAGTTATAATCAGATTTAAAGGTAAGACAAATTAGTTGGTGTAAAAATGTCTTTAGGCTATGCTTCAGAAAGTCTTCCCAATCAATGAGCTATAGAGCTTGTCCATCTTTTACTGGGGTTTGCATAATGTTAAAAACCTATTAAAATAAATATTATTTAAAACACGCAAAAACATTATTAAGCAGCCCACCTGTTAAAATGTAATTGGCTGCATCCTCTGTACAACAAGAGCCTCGAAAAGCAGCGTAATCAGTGATTATAAGAGCATTCCTACAAAATACCAACATGGAAAAGTTCACTTTAAATTTTCATCTGTAGTTATTATAAATAGATTTTTACTACATGGTGTTACAGAAAAACACTGTAGAGACCCTCTATACTCTAACCTTTCAAATCCAAATTTCAGAGTGGAATTTCTTCTTTTTTTTAAATGCATATCTTTTCCTTCAGCATTAGGAACACACATCAATACAAACCTACTTTTGCAAGAGCTGTAAAAAGCAGAAATTTCAGCATCTAAGGTAAGTGTATAAACGATTAGCTATTCAATAAATGTACAGTGGGTTAAGTATTACAGTTTTATAAGGTACTTGAGGGCAGTTAAAGTTACATTTCACAGTGTTCTTCAGAATTCTGCACCTGTGTTAAATCTGATGTATTGAATTTCAGCCAGGATGGACTATTAATGGCTGACTAAAACCCCACAAAATGCTGATTTGTATCTAAAGCTCTGGACAAATCCGTAGCTGACACAGCAACAACAGGCAACATTCTGAAACAATCGTTCTTCTCAAGTAATTTTTTCTTTCAATTATAATGCAGAACTCTTAAAACCAATTAACTAATAATTATGAACAATTGATAGTAAAAAGGAAACAAAGTATAAATGTCCAGATCTGTTCATGAATATACAAATTAAATATTTACAAGGTATGAATATTAAATAGAAAGATTTTTGTCCTGACAGTGTGATATAGTCTTTGAATACAAGCATAAATTTTGTAATTATATTAATGGCAACATTTTTAAAACAATTGTTCTTTGTAGTTTAAATTAAGGTGTAACTAAATTAAATATACTTTAAATATCTTTTAATGAAATACTTTCTGAGAAGTTACCTGGTGGACAACTGTCTAGTAAAGTAATTTATATAAAATATTTAATAGCATATATTTTCTCCAATTTTACATGGCACAAACAGAAGCAGAGAAAGCAAAAGGAAAATGTTATCTTTCGTAGAGACTATTTCATTAGGAAAGATTCGTATGAAGGACGATATTCAGTGGAAATGGTTTCTGACATAATGGATGGTCTGTTGCCATGACAACCTTTTGAAATCATGGCTTTGAGCTAAAGCAATAAACGTAAATGACCATGACAACTGTTTGATTTTGAATCTGCCTACATCCATGAATCTTAAAGAACTTGCTAGATGCTTCCACTCATGATACTCAACTGGTCTTAAACTGTTAGAACTAACCCTTTCAGCTGTGTTTAGGAACCTGAGGTCTAAAGGATAAGTGACTTGTCCAAATCATACGGCTCATGAATCACAGTCAGAATGATCTAGGTGTCCTCCCAGGTCAATTAATGCTTAAATGTGAGTTACCTTCACTTTTTAGAAACATTGTCTTTACTGTAAAATTTTCTCAAAACTGGCGTCTGTGGAAATTCTGTGAGTGTCACACATAGCGAGGGAATCAGTAACATACTTTTTAACCAGACGGTGGTAACGTAAGTGGTAGCTGGATATGTTTTGTAGCCAAATAAACCTTTTCTATTACAACGGACATTTTAGATGCTAAATAAATTTCCTCAATTACCCTGAGTTCCAATAAAAATGCTGATTTTAAAAACTGAGAATAAGCCACTTGTAAAATGGTGACAACTGAGATATTTCAAATTAACTGTTGTTGTTTCAAGAAAATGAAATTGAGGGAAGAATAATTATTTTTATTCATTTTTCCCTGAGTAGTATATAATTTACCAAAAGTATAAATACGATGTTGATTGGAGATCTCTGGAGTGCTTTCATGACAACTGAAGAGGGGGAAATAATCCAAATATGCACTAAATCCCAGTCTGTTGATTAAAAACAAGCGCAAATTACAATGAATCCCTTTACACTAACAGCAGCCAGATGTACCAGTTTTAAAGTCTTTTACTATAAATAGAAGCAAAAAAGTAATCTTTGCAACACTCCAAGTAGATATATTCACTTTATAGAGCACAAAAAATTTCTTCTTGAGGAGAAAAATCAAGCTGAGAATTAGAATGATTATTTTTCTTCTAGACTGGATACTTGTGATTTCTTCAAAATCAGAGGAAAGCTACCCAAAACCATTTCATAAAAATATAATAGCTGATTCGGGGGATGAAAAATCAAACTGAATATGTAATGTATTATATTTGAAGTGGAGCCCTGGTGGTGTAATGGTTAAGAGTTCGTCTGCTAACCAAAAGGTTGGCAGTTCGAATCTACCAGTAGCTCCCTGGAAACCCTATGGGGCAGTTCTAATCTGTCCTATAAGGTTGCTACGAGTCAGAATCGACTCGACGGCAAAGGGTTTGGATTTTTTTATATTTAAAGTAATTGAAAAACTGACCAAACATCTTTCTGGATGGTAGTGGTATCATTATATTAATTGAGCAAGAAATAGATAACCAATTTAGTTTCACAGGCTGAGAAAATATATTCAGATAATAGAAATAAAAGCTGATTATTTATAAGTGGCTAAATAGGCTGTACAAGAAAAACAAAAGTCTCTATCAAACTTTCTTGTTTTCATTTATGACACGCCTAGGCCCCTCGTCTAAACGTTCAATTTCTTTACTTTCTCTTAATAGTGATCAGATTCTCCGCAGCATTCATAAAACTGAAGAGACCTTTTTGGGGGCAGATTCTTTCCAGGAACGTTCTTTTCTATCCTCTCATGTTAGGCAGCTAGCTTCATTTCAGTACATGGGAAAAGAGAGAAAATGTATGTAACTATCTTTCCTGGGAGGTAACAGGACAGGGCTAACCTCATCAGATGGAAAATGTTTATCTTTAGAAAAATTAAAAACATTTCTTACAAACAATGAGTAGGAGATCTGTAAGGTTTTAAAAGGATAAATTGACTTTTTTGCTGATTAGGACCTCAAAAGCTCCAAGTTTATTTCCTTTTTCCTTCCTTCTTTAAATGAAACACTACAGTTTAAGCCAGATTGTTGTTCTGTCTTTAACTACATTTGAAAATTTATTAATAACAAAAATCTAAACCGAAAGATTCACCAGAGATGGACAGCTTGCATTTCATTAAAAAAAAAAATTAAGGCAAAAGAAAATAAATTCCATGAAAGACTTGTCAAATAAAGGTGAAGTCAAAAGGCCCTGCCTACTCTTTTCTCTCACAGCCGGGATTTACAATTGAGGGCTGAGGCCCTGCTGTCAGGCCAGCTCTACCACCTGGCATGTGATCTTACCCTTCTGCTTCCGGCGACCCAAGTCATCACAGTCATCTGGAGAATGAAGTGAGACACACCAGTAAATCAAGGCGAGATTAATTATGGTAAAAATGGCCAATAAGAGCATAGTTTTTCTACTTATAGAACCTAAAACTCATTTTAACAAGAGTTTACAGCAGCATTTTAATGTGAGAGGTTAATAGTTTGGAAACTAATTTATATTCTTCTCTAAAAATGTGGTTCCGGCCCACTGATTTTAGTTTTTAATTTCCCTAAAACTTCCCCAAATATGAATTAAGCTGTCAGGGATAAGAAAAGGCTTAATTAGCCAGATAGTACTCTTACCCGGCAATTTCTCTTTCAAAACCTTCAAGCAATCTAGTGTTATTATTTTCATAATCCCTGTCTAATTCTACGTAATTTATGCTTGATAAATTTCATTTAAAAGTCCAAAGTATTAAGAGTTACTAAACTTTTCTCTTACATAATCACAAAGAACTCAGATAGGTAAGGGTAAATGCACTTCTGCTGAGCACCCAGGACTTACGCAATCTTCCTTATTCCCTATCACGGATGCAGGAGCCCTGGTGGTGCGGTGGTTAAGTGCTCGGCTGCTAACCGAAAGGACTGCAGTTTGAACCCACCAGCCGCTTCGCAGGAGAAAGATGTGGCAGTCTGCTTCTGTAAAGATTACAGCCTAGGAAATCCTATGCGGCAGTTCTACCTTGTCCTATAGGGTCACTGTGAGCCCAATCAGCTCGACAGCAATGGATTTGGTTTTGGTCTTTTTTTTTTAATTACAACTGCCCACTTGCTTCTAGCTCCAGAGTCCATTTAGTGCTTTCTTCATTCATGCCTTCCTTCCTTTCTTCATCTTCTCTTTTTTGTAAAATAAGCTTAAAATATCTCACTCCCAGCCTTTAATTATGTTTAAGAAATTCCTCCTTGAAGGGCCCTCTGACTGACACACAGGGTAATTAAACTCTGCATCCAAATAAGCTGCCTATAATTTGGCATCAGTTAATGTTGCAGTTTCACTATGCATTGTAGTCATTTGAGATACTTTAAGAAAATCCTTCAAATACTGAGATGTTTATTGCATTTTTAAGTATCCACAATCTTAAATATCCTGTTTTAAATTCCTCCTACATTCCTTTACAGCACACAACATCAAATATGTGAAATATGAGTTCTCACAATATTACACAAGAAAATACCATTTAGGAACAACATTTTTGGAAATAGAGGGCTTAAGGCAAGACATTCATTTGGAAAAGTTAATTTCTCTCAGTCATCCAGATTGACACAATTATTTTTCCACCTCTTCAGTGCCTTGGGGTACGCAACGTACATTCAGCAACAGGGCACACATATGACCCTATGGACATATGCTGAGGTCCTGAGCGCCCATTGAAATAATGGAAATATTTTTATATAAGGCGTAGCCCACAGGGACATGGCATGGGAGGGGTTATTTCACTCCATTTCCAATCTGGTATATAGGAAATTCCCTATCTAGAAATGTCCAATTTCCCCCCACCATTTAATCTCTTTTCAAACAAACACAAACCCTTTGCAAAGGTGCTAAGATTGGTTTCTGTTAACATACAAAAAAATGGCCGTCTGGGCGTTTTCTCCATCATTGCTTTAGTGATGAATGTCTAGAGGCTATTTCTTGATTCTGATTGCAAACATTGTTTGTTGTGGAAAAACTATTCTGTCCCAAAGAATTTTCTTGTTCATCAAACTTTTTGGATCGTGAGAGCTGAATCTTTTCATGTGTATTCCTTCCTCTTTGAGTTTTTTTCACTGGCAACAACAATAATACTAAGATACCAGCAATGTGAAGACAATAATACCAGGAGCTAAAAGAAAAAGGAAAACAAGTTTACTTTATTCAATTGTGATAATTAATAACAGCATATTTGCCAATATGCCATATGTCCCCCTTAATATGTGCTTGCTTACTACTGTATACTGTTTTTTTCTCCCTCATGAGATGAAACTCTCAAAATAGTGTATGCTAATGAGTATTTATAAAGCACTGTATAAACCCAAAAACCAAACTAGCTGTCATCAAGTCGATTCTGACTCATGGTGACCCTCTGTGTCGCAGAGTAGAACTGTGCTCCACAGGGTTTTCATGGCTGTAGACCACCAGGCGTTTCTTCAGAGGCACCTCTGGGTGGGTTCGAACTGCCAACCTTTTGGTTTCAGTTAGTAGCACACTGCTTAACCATTTGCACCACCAAGGGAGTCTCTGTATAAACCCAGGTGGCTTACAATCATGCTACTAAATATCACATTACATTTCTTTGTAACGGTCATAATGCCATGACAAAACAGAATAAAAACAAAAAGGTGCTTGTTAGTATCTATGGTAATCTGAAAATCATCTCTGAAACCACAGAAGCAAATACTGAGCAAAGAGAGTGCAGGGATAGGAAAGACTGACTAGGCTGACCTCCCTTGCTATATATTCTCCCTAACTAAGTAACAAATATTCTAATGAAGTGAGTGACAGATAAGCAATATTGCTTCTTGATGGTTGCTTTAATCAAATAAAGGTTATATTACTAAAAACGTTGTTAGAAACATCATCCCTCAAATTAAATATAAACCAAATGTGACCTAAACTATTTCTATAGCTCTAAATTCAAGTGATTGTGAATCAAGTACCTGGAATAGAAAATCCCACCTAACAGATTAATCACATTTAAACAGTATTTAATAACGTTGTTACAATGGACACTGTAACAGGAGTTATTATCTTCCTGTATGGTTATGGTCATATTCAAAGCAATAATTTTTGAGCACATACTCTCTGGTAAAGGCATTCCAAACACTAAGGTAATAAACAATTTATATGAGAATAAAGTTTTTTATTTCAAATATATTACTATCTAATATGGGAAAGGAGCCCTGGTGGTGCAGTGGTTAAGAGCTACAGTGAGCTCAGCTGCCAACCAAAAGGCAGGCAGTTCAAATCCACCAGTTGCTCCTTGGAAACCCTATGGGGTAGTTCTACTCTGTCCTATAGGGTCACTATGAGTTGGAATTAACTTGATGGCAATGGGTTTGGTTTTTGTTTTGGTAATATGGGGGAGTGCAGTCTGATGAGGCAAGGAGAGGAGATAAACAGATAAACAAAAAATACTGAATTCAAAACAACTTTTATAATATAGAGGTGACCCAAGTACCAATGAAACACAAAAGACAGAAAAGGAAACAAAAGTGTAAGTAATTTACTTTACCTTGATTAAATTAAGTAAAGAACTGTCTTTAAAAAAAATTAAAATTTACAGGTTTTGGACACTTAAGCTACATTTTCTAGTAAAACCTTTATGAGAGATTTGAGGCAGTGGTTACCCAACTGATATTTCTCTGTCTAAATCAAACTCTCACCTGAGGGTTGGGTAGTATAAGTCATTCCATACAGGAACTTGAGATTGCTTGGTTTAAGATTAAAAAGTAACTGATAATGCATTTAGTTGCAGGAAATGAGGCTATGGTACAATTTTTCTATTCTACCCAATAACAAGGAGCTTTGTTTTAAAAATACAGTTATTCCACTGACGTATTTTAAGAAGTAAACACTTACCTGTAAAACATGAATGATGGTTTTATAGAAAGAAGTACAAATGGCACAACTGTGTAACTTATTGCTATTTGTGTTACTATCCATGTTATAACATCATAAAATAATTTAAGTTGGGGAGGTTCCATGAAATAATGTCTAATGTTACTTCTCATCTGAAAGAAACACAAAAATATTAGCTTTAGCTTTAAATTAACATTCCTTATAATATTAGACTGGCCATACCAGCTGTTTCGAGGATGTAGAATAACTGAAACTATCATACATCGCTGATGGGAGTCCAAGAGGATACTAATTAGTTGGGAAAAGTTGGTTTAGATAAACTAATGCATATATGTATAAAAAGATACAGAGAGGATGATAAAGCACATGGGCAAAATTAAAACTGGTGAATCTGGTAAAGAGCACAGGTAACTTCTCTTTAAAGTGTTAAAAAGCAAAGATGTCACTTTGAGGACTAAGATGTGCCTGACCCAAGCCATGGTACTTTCAACTGCCTCATATGCATACAAAAATTGGAAAACGAATAAGAAAATCAAAGAAGAACTGATGCCTTTGAACTACAGCATTGGTGAAGATTACTAAATACACCATGGACTGCCAGAAGAACAAACAAATCTGTTTTGGAAGAAGTACTGCCAGAATGCTCCTTAACAGCAAGGATGGCAAGACTACGTCTCACGTATTTTGGACGTGTTATCAGGAGGGACCAGTCCCTAGAGAAGGACATCATACTTGGTAAGGTAGATGGTCAGCAAAAAAGAGGAAGACCCTCAAAGAAATGGACTGATACAGTGGCTCCAACAGTGGGCTCAAACATAGCAGTGATTGTGAGGATGGCGTGGGACGGGATAGTGTTTCGTTCTGTTGTACATAAGGTCGCTATAAGTCGGAAGTGACTCGATGGCACATAACAACAACTCCTCTGTAGGTTGGAAGGTGTTTTTTTTTTAAAGTAGTTAAAAAATAACACTGCCACAGGCAGAGCCAAGATGGCAGACTAGTCAGACACACTGAGCCATCCCACTGCAACAAAGACCTAAAAAAACAAACAAGTAAAACAGATACAGATGTCAATTCTAGAACCCTGAACCTTAAATGAAGGGATAAAGTATTAGATTGGAAGTCACTGAGAAGAAGAAACTGATAGAAAATGGGAACAGAATAGAGATAAACCAAACCAAACTTACAAGAATTATTAAAGGTTGGTTAGAGAACCAACAACATCAGACAACAACCTGAATCTAGGACACAGGTCAGTATGAGCCAAATAACAATGTATGTAATGAACTCTCAAGGACAAAAAGTTCCATAGATTTTCAAATTTTTCTACTACTATGAAATGAGACATCCTTCCCTCTTCTTTAATGTCTGCACTTGTGAAAGACAGATATTATATGCTGAGCTTAGGTCAAACAGCATTTATTAAAATATATGGCAATACCACATATTATTCATTCATTAACAACAGCCTGGAAAAGCTTCTCAAAAGAGGTGTTTTCTAATAATCACAACGTAAATAAATTTGTTTTTAGCTTCCAAAGCAGTCAATTCCAGTTCTGATATGTACAAACTTAACCAAGCATTATTTTCTTTTGTATTCCTCACTTGTCTTGTCTTCTGTGTGTGTATAGGCCAAGAAAGGCCCTGCTCTGAGGATGCCACACTTGTTTTTCAGGCGATTTGGCATATGGTGAATGTCTCCCACATACAGAGACCATCATTCTTAACTGCCAGAACCCCAGAACCTAATCTGGGCACCTACCATTCCTTGCCTACTCACTGCTGCAGTGGTTACCTGCTGTCTATTGCATCTGTCCACCAATGACAAATTAATTTTCCTGAGGCATGGATTTCAGCATTTCCATGCTTCAAAACTTTACTCGCTGATATTGCTGACAGAATAAGGATTAGGCTCTTTTATTTGTCATTTAAGTTCTTCTGTATGTGTGCTCCCACCCTCCATTTGCCTTTCCGGAATTATTTACTATTTATGCATACGTGAATTCTCTGCTTCAATCAAATTTACTTTTCATTTCCCAAACACACCATGTACTTTCAAATGTGGTTTTGCTAATGTCAATCCCATGCCTACAATGTCACTTTCTCCCTCATATTGAACTTCACTCACTACTGAAATAACTTGCATTTTTCAAAGCCCAGATCCAACCACGCTTTTTCAATGAGGCCATCTCTAGTCAACCCGACCAAAAGGATTTTCTTTTACGTCTAAACACCTATGATACTTACTATTGATGAAATACATGGACTTTATCATACATGCCTTGTGACAACTATCTATATCTACCTACATACATTTCTATCAATCTATCAATCTATGCGTCTGTCATCTATATCTTATCCCCTACTTAGACTATAAGCTACCAGAAGGTAGAGCCCTTTTTTAATACTTCTTCATATTTCTCCAAGGTACTTTAAATACGGTAAAATATTTGCTAGTTTCTTAAATTAATCCATCTTACTTGTAAGTGCTGTAATAAACTTGTTCAAATACTGTTTTTGTCATGTCAACTTCCCTCTCAGCGACTTTCAAGGACTTACACTAAAATGTCCTTCCTCGTTTCCCATCATGTCACCAATCGAATTTCTCAAGTAATTCCTGAAACATTATTCCTGGTTCCTACCAAGCAAATAGTAAGAAGAACTGCACTTTGCTTCCAGTGTAGTACTCCACCACCAGGAATGGCCCATCTACTTATCTTGGCCTATTGATATTCCATTCATCATCCAAAATATGACTCAAAAGTTACAGCTGCCAGGAAACATTTCTAAAATAACCCTCTAGTCATTTTAATTTAACTATGTGTTTAGCTATCCTCCAAGAAATTTAATAAAGGCAATTAACAATTTTTGAGTGCCTTCTACGTGCCAGGAACATAAAAACATCTTTTCTTCTCATATCAACCAAGTATGGAGCTTAGCACATGGTGAATACTCAATAAACATGTAAATGGCTATAAATCTCTCTTCTAGTGCAGAGTATAACGCTAATCATGACCAAAGAAGTAAAGTCGACCTTGTAAAACAGATTTAGTCAGCTCTTTAAAATAGTTCAAGTGAACCACACTGAATTATAAAATAAAATTCTTGATACTTACAGCTCGTGCTGCCAATGTCATTAACACCCCTGTTAGAAACGTTAGATAATATCCTGGGTATACTCCATGCCAAATGGCAGAGAGAAAGAACGTCTGGATAGTTGGACTGAAGGAGGCTCGTTCATAACACACCCTAGAAACCACGAAAAACACAGAGAGCCAAGAGGAGTGAGTGATTAGAGTTTATAAAGCCCCATGATGCTTAGTTTTTAAAATAGTGGTAAAACATATATAACAAAACATTTTATTACTTTCTTTAAAAACATCAAGAACATTCAACTGATCTAATAACACTACCCTTTCTGGCAAATAGCCTGTGCTCAGTCTAATATTTTCCTGTAATAAAGTAGAGAATTCAGATGAAGATAAGATTTTCCTAAAATATCAAATTGAAAATATAATAAAAAAATAATACAACACAGATTAGCTCAGAGTACCTGTAGCCTTTGGTAGGCTGTAACAGACCATCTAGTGAAAATAATATATTTTGGATATCTCAAACGTAAAGGTATCCAACTTTACCCTTGAGCACACCAAAGAAAGCTGCTTTACACAGAAGTCCTGAAAGCCCAGCTGTTACAGGGACAATATTTTATGAACGAAGTCAGAACAGGGCAATATACCTACCAGAACAAGGAGATAGAATCACTGGGAGTTTCTACGCAGTTCCCCAACTCCCTCTTTTGTAGGTGTTGCTGCCTCTGCCTGGGCTGCCCTTCCCTCCTCCTTGTCCATCTGATAAACTCCTAATCATCAATCTCAGCTCAAGTATCAACTACTTCTGAGTTCTTCCTCTTTTCCCTTTGTGCCCTCACTGTTCTGTTCTCTTGCTCTTTCTCTTTTATAATCCTTACCATAGAGAATAGCATGGAATGGACTGGTTACACATCTGTGTTTTCAGACAAGACTGTGAACTCTTTGACTGCAGGTACTGGTTTTTTGGTTTTTTTTGTCTTACTCATCTTTGTATCCTGTGCCTAACATTTAAAGATCTTTTGAACTAAAATATTTAAAACTGGAACTGTTCTGGAAAATCGAGGGCATATGTATAGTGGTTTTATAGGTCCCTTTTAAAAACAAAAGCAAATCTCCAATGAATGAGAGCAGGAGCTAAAGATGAGGATACTGGTCACCTCAGACAAGGGTAGATGCCTTTAAAGGTTGGCTAAAAGGTCAGTGACATCCATGTCCATCACAGTCAAATGACTCAAGCTGAAACAGTTCTCTGATTTGATAGCACCTTGCTTTGGAAGTGGAAACCCTGGTGGTGTAGTGGTTAAGAGCTACGGCTGCTAACCAAAAGGTCAGCAGTCTGAATCCACCAGGCACTCCTTTGAAACTCTATGGGGCGTTTCTACTCTGTCCTATAGGGTCGCTATGAGTCAGAATCAACGTGACGGCAACAGGTTTGGTGTTTTTTTTTTTTTTTTTTTTTTTTGCTTTGGAAGATGTTAGTAGTTCCTTGTTAACACCAAAGTCACAATGTCACTCAACATAGTGCTAATTTAATCAAGAATCTGAACTCAGTGAAGCTCAACCTCAAGTAGTAGATGCCAAAGTACATCTAAAGATGGTTCTTGAAGGAACATACCTTTTGAGCCAAAGAGCTGTCTGAATATTCCAATTATCAAGAAACATCTTGAAACTTGTTGACATCTGAAAAACAAAGGAACTTTTTTCTTTGGTCAGCAAAATAATGTAGCTTTAAATGTAAGTAATAATGTTTTATTGTGCTAAAAATACATTATTTAAAAACGATGGTCATGTACTGATTGGTCTCTCCTTAGTACTGTTTTTCTGATATAGTAACATCATTCTATAAAAAGAGTTTATTTATTGTAGGGACCATTTACAAGGTAAATGAATTATCATTTTCTCCTATATGTTACCATTTAAAGGTTTTGTCATGGAATTATTCCAAAGAAATGTCTGATACAGTATACCAGTGACTTGCCCTCATTCACTGAAGACTTGAACATCGGCCTCACTATCTTCCTATCAATTCTGTCATATTTTGGGGGGACACAATTCAATCCATAACACACCCCAAGCTCTGCCATCACTGTGAATAAACTTGTTGTCCACAGAGATGAACCATCAAACCTTAGTCTCTCAATTTTTTCACTTCCAATTCTCTTCAGTCACCCACTGCCATGGCTACTCTCTGGATCTAGGCACGCTTAGAACTGCTCGACTTCTGAAATAGTAAATATGCACTCATCTCTCAGATAATGGCTTCCTACCTTTCCACCTCTACCACTTGGTTACTACTATTAAAGCTGCTCTTTAATCTTAGAGGGAAAGCTATTCTTTGGTCTCCTGAACTCTCTCACTTTCTCCATATGTAACTGTATATCCTCCTCCTTCTCAACATTTTAGATTCCTTGGTTCATTAGTTACTACCCTCTTGTAAAAATCTTCATTGCCTTTGTTTCTTTTTCCTTTTAGCTCACCTACCTGTCGGAATCAACCCTACTGTCCATCTTCCATACCTCTAACATCTGAATGCTGAGTGTAGCATATTATATAACATTAAAGACCTTTCATAAATTCTTGGTTCCAACTTCAAATGGGCCCTCAACCTACTAAATAATCCTTCTGTTTCCCTAGATAGTTCATTCTTCTCTTCTTGAAAGCAGCTATTAGATTGAACTACTTGAAACGGTCTTTCTTCTTTAAGTCGAAAATAGGTAAATATCAGCAGCTTCATATGGTTCAACCTAACACTTCAAGCCTGCGCCCATTATTTGTGCCTTACCTCAAAGGCATCACCATAAACCTAGTTGTTTAAACAAGAAATCTGTGCATAATTCCTAATCCATTCTTCTTCTTGATTCCAATTTATCACCAATTTCTGCTGAATCTCTTAATCAGTTCTCCAATATGTTTATGTCTTTCTAACACCAGAGTCACTAAGCCTGTTTAGGTCCCATCATCTTGGATTGACACAACACCCTCCTAACAGATTTCCCTGACTCTCAAGGGGCAACACATTCTACATGACATATCCAGATCCTTCTAAAACACATATTGATCACCTCACTTCCCTGCATATAACTCATTCATAGTGCTCCATCACTCTTAAAAGAAGTTCAAAACTCTTAATATGCATGACCTGGCCTCTACTTCTCCAGTCTCATCTTTCACCACTCCCTATACGATAAACCAACATAAGCCACACACCCATTCTCACCCCTCAGGCTGCTTCCTTTACTTGGAGGGCCTAGTTATCTCCTATATATCCTTTTAGGCTCAGCTTAAAATACTATTTCCTTTAGGGCCTCTTCCCTGAGCCACTATGTCTAAGTTGGATTCTTTATCTTATCAACACCCAGTGCACTCTGTATCTCTCTGCATATAACCTATTCTTCTGTACCCTGTAATAACCCCCTACTAAACTAAAGCTTCAGAGAGCCCAGGTTGCATCTATCTTATTCATTGGATCCCCAGTGCCTGGGATATGTGGTAGATGACCAATAATATTGGTTAAATGAAAGAATGAGTAATATCATCAAAAATACTTCAACAACAATCTTGGGATATCACATTATAATGTATGAAAGCAAATTATGATACCTGAAGTATCATAAGAAGCCCTGGTGGCACAATGGTTAAGTGTTCGCTTGCTAACAGGAAGGTGGGCAGTCTGAACCCAGCCGGTGGCTCCTCAGGAGAAAAGACATGGCGATCTGCTCCTGTAAAGATTACAGCCTAGAAAACCCTATGGGGCAGTTCTACTCTGTCATATAAGGACACTACGAGTCGGAATCGACTCGATGACAACAACAAAGTATCATATGGTGATTAACTTCTTAATGATTTACTAACCTCTATTTGCTGAATTCTCAAATTGGAAATTAAGTCCCAACGAGCTGCTCCATTTTTGTCATATCCTCTGAAACCAAAGCCTGCAGCATTATTAATGGCATCAGCTATATTAAACAAAATTAAAAAAAGCATTAAGAATATATTCTCCCAGAAGATGTATATTATCATATACAACGATCCTTTATTCTTAAACAATAAAAGTAGATTTATTCTAATTTTTAGGAGAGGTCAGAAACATTATCATATGCAATGAAAATAACTACCCCATTAAGGACAACCTGGCTAGTCAACAAAACATCAGACAAAGCACAGGTTGAAGGCAGGTGAAGTTTAAGTTACTGAGGACCCAATATAGTTGCAGACCCAATATAGGAAATACTTTTGCAATATTAGAATTATCCAGCAATGGAATACAGCAGAGTATGCTCAACCATACATCAGAGAATTGCTGGAGAGGATGTTTTACCCTGGGATCACCAAGTTCTTTTTATCACATATTTGACCTTTATTATAAATAAGAATACGTAAGGGAGGCATATTTTCATTCATTTTTTTCCCTTTCTTGGTTCATACAAATCCATTTCATTTGTCTCCAGAATTTGTTTTTTGATCCTTTTCACCACATTGCTCAATTAGTTATTTTTGCTTTGTAAACTTGTTTGATTATAAGCCATTAAGATTGATTTGCCTCAGATGACCCCTTTTCCAGTCAACTAAACAATGGAAAACAGTTTAGAATCTCTGCTATCTCTGTCATGACCAGAGAATAAACAAACTGAAATCCATCAAAAACCAGCAAATTAATATGCCTATATGGACATGTATCCTTAAATTGTTTGATTCCTTATTAGTGATTTTTAGTACATCAAATGGGATTTTTAAAAAAATAGTCTTAGGGAAAAGGAATAAACAAACAAGAGGTCTGCAGTCTTTCGTCAAATAAATATTTGCCTTTAAAGTAAGTCTATGAATACAGTCACATTCATATTCAATAGAATTAAAACCAAAATTTATTAATAACATGGTCAGCACACCCATACAGATGGCTGCTAGAGAACGGCTCCCTCCTCGCTCACATTTGCCACCACTTGTAATGTCTTCACTTATTCATTCTCTCCATCTTTTCTGTCCTACCGGGATCTGAGAACAACTCAACTCCTTACCAACGTCTCATCTCACAAGAGAATTGGTCCAGGGTGTGGTCAACAGCAACGAGGAGAAGGGAGTCCGGAAAATAAAACCACAGATGTCAATCTTCCCGGACCCTAAATCCCAACACAGACCCAGTGTAATCTAGGTGTCCTAACTCCTGAGAAAGCTGGCAAGTTTGCATTAATATAGAGATGACTTTAGCAATTTGTGATTCCAAAACACTGACAACTAACATCTATTTAAACTTCAATCTTTCTCTACATGGGTTAAGTCAATGTTCTTCATACTTAAACTTCAAACTTAAAGGAAAAAAATCCACTAAAATTCCAAGAAATAATTGTTTTGAAGGGCTGAAAAGAAGAGGTCAGGGCCATAGGGGTGTGGAGACCTGGGAGCCTAGTATTTATTTTGATAAATGTTGAATTAAAGTTTTTAACACTATACTCTAGGTTGGAGCCCTGGCGGCCCAGTGGTTAAGTGCTACAGCTGCTCATCAAAAGGTCGGCAGTTTGATCCACCAGCTGCTCCTTGGAAACCCTGTGGGGCGGTTCTACTCTGTCCTATAGAGTCGCTGTGAGTCGGGATCGACTCCACAGCAATAGGTTTTTTTTGGTATACTCTAGGTTACCACTTAAAATCAATGAAATTGTAAATTCAAAAATACCTATGTGGACAATGAAATCAGGAAGGTAATTATCCATTTGAACCATAATATAGATATATTTTTAATTGTCATCAAAATACAAAAACAAATTAAAGAATTATTTTGGAACTCTTGGATTCCCAAAAACACAACTGGGACGTCAAGAGATACTTAAACTCCAATTTGAGAACCAAATGATAACAGTTATGAAAAAATATATATAGTCAAGACAGGACGGGGTGAATTGGTGCACTGGGACATGGAAGTGGGCCTTTCATTTGGTTTCTCTATTGACACAAAATTTAAACTTAGACTTCAGCTTGAATTTCCTTAACCATTACTAGGATCTAAAAGACAATCCTGATTAAGACAGTGCAGGCATAGTGTAAGTTTTTATTGAGTTGAATAAACTCTTTAAATTTAAATTCTTTAATGCGGTTCAATTTCAAATTGTTATTCTTACATTTTCTAATATATTTATTTCCTTAAGGAGCAATCAGAGAAAAGGAATAAACTCATCTTTTCCTGGTTTTTCAACCAAATATTGGGGGAGAGGAATGAGAAATCCCCTGTCATTTTTTAAAACTGTTGTCATAATTAGCAAAGAAATAATTAACGGTGAAATCTCCTTGGTGCATTTTTAGGATATTTACAAAGATCTCATGATTTTCACAAAAGCCTTATGAATTCAATTATCTTACTCCACCGACAGATTTTTAACAATTGGATGTCTAATCAAACCCAGTAATTTGCAGAACTCTTATATCCTCTAAATCTAGTGGTTTAACAAATACGTCATATTTCTTATAAAATGCTTAAAATACTAGGTTGGTTTGGGAAAATTCCAAGTTTCAATTTAAAGTAAGAATTTAAATCACATAGTAGGTGTACAAACATCTTCAGAAATCTCAGTCAGTATTAATGATGTTTAAATTGGGCTAGAATAAAAAAAAAATTCAATCCTTAAATATTAGTTTAAAACACATACCAGGTAACATTTTAACTGCCCAATAAATCACAAGTTAAAGTAACATTTTATAATGCTACCGTGTGCAGGGTGTATGATAAAAGACTGAAAAGCTGATTCTAGTCCCAAAGTATATTTTATTGTAATCCACATAAAACCAACAGTAAAATGACAGTCCTCAGGCCTTATGGTTTGCCTTGTTTTGCTGATCTCTTTAATGCATTCATTCAATTTACTGAGTTTCAAATATAAGCAAGACAAAGAGGACACAATCTTAAGAATAAAGGAGTTTACAATCTAGTGGGTGAAATAAAAGGCACCAAAGAAAAGCAGTTTCAATTTATCCAGTGAAGAGACTTTCTACATTAGTCCATCCTCTACCTTGTGGCCAGAATTATCTTCTATCACACACAGAACTAGGCCATTAGCTGGCTTGAAAGCTCTAATGGCTTCCCAATGACTACAGATAAGTTCAAACTTCTTCACTAGGGCAGTCAAGGTCTTGGGAAAGCCCTGTTTCTCCTTCCCAGTTCCCTCTTCCTGTCATGGTCCCTGCTACACTAGTCACAGAGGACCATGCATGCTCACATCTCTTTGTTCATGACTGCAAAACTAACTAAAACTATAATTCCACCAACCCATTTCCCATTGGCTGAAATCACATTCAATCTTGAAGGCACAAGTGAATAGTATCTTTTCTCTAATACTTGCTCTGACTGCCAGGCATAGTTGATGACCCCCTTTCAATGCATCAATAACATTTTATTCACATTAGTGATAAAGTACTGATCATGTTATATTGTGGTTAAGGTCTATTTAATACTTATCATTATAATGGTGTATCTAATACAATCATACTAAATGGAGGTTAGAGACTATATCTATGCATATTAGTGTCTACTATGGCTAGTACAAAGTCTAGCATACAGTAGGCATTCAATGTCTGTTGTCTTCTAACCAATCTATTGGTTTTCATATTATAATAAAATGGGTTTTGATCCAGTTTTTAGGCTATCCTTACATATGAGCTGTAAGGGTTGTTTCTTCTACATTAAAAAGCGAAACGAGTTGTCAGATGACTCTAATTTTTCTGACTGATCTTTAACTACACATCCTCAAGAGGGCACTCTCATAGCTACCTATAGGATAAGATGCAATTCAACACATAGAACAGAGACGTCTATTTACATGCTACTTACCTAACGTCCACGCAAAATAGTATTTGGGTCTGGCAGCCAAAAGAGAGACGTACAGATAGATAACCTTTGTTGGCCATGAAGCTGTAGCTTGAAAATGCTCATCAATGTTATACTGCACGGGTAATGTTTTAGAGACAGTCAGATGAAATAGTAAGGAAAGTCCACAGACTAGGAGTTTCTGAGTAACTGCGATCTGAAAAGACAAGATTTCATAAACTTGATCCATACGCCTTTCAGTTCAGTTTACGTGTTACTGCCAGATTGATCTTCCTAAACATAGCATTAACCCTCTAACTCTCCTGGTCCAAAATCAAAAGCTACCTTGTGCTCAGCAGTTAAAGTCCTCCATGGTCTCACAGTATGAACATGATCTATCACTCTTACCTATGGGTTATAGCTCAAATCATATTAACAACTTCAGTTTGTGTTTTCAGAACTGTCAAGAAATAAAAATCTAAAAGCAAGCAAAGTGTGTGTGTGTGTGTGTGTGTGTGTGTGTGTGTGTGAGTAAGAAACCTATGAGAGCTGAAATTCATTGGGACTGCCTTTTTTTCCCCAGGTCTCCCAAGTTTTCTGCCTTTGAGAGGGTGCAGTCTTACCACTTTCTATTGCTCCTTTTAGTGGAAAATATTTGAGTTTTTCTTCTCAGACAGGTTTCCGCTTTACACAGGTTCTGGCTTTCACAGGTGTATGTGTGTGTGTGTATATACTGCTGCAACCACTTTTGAATGATTTTCAGCAAAATTTTACTTGTGTGTGATATTTATGATATCGTTCGGTAAGTTCCGCATTTGGTTGGATCACCTTTCTTTGGAAAAGGCATAAATATGGACCTCTTCCAGTTAGTTGGCCAGGTAGCTGTCTTCCAAATTTCTTGGCATAGATGAGTGAGTACTTCCAGTGCTGCATCCATTTGCTGAAACATCTTAATTGGTATTCTGTCAATTCCTGGAGCCTTGTTTCTCGCCAATGCCTTCAGTGCAGCTTGGACTTCTTCCTTCAGTACCATCGGTTCTTGATCATACACTACCTCCTGAAATGACTGAACATCGACGAACTCCTCTTGGTATAGTGACTCTGTGTATTCCTTCCATCTTCTTTTGATGCTTCCTGTGTCATTCAGTATTATGCCCATAGAATCCTTCACTATTCCAACTTGAGGCTTGAATTTTTTATTCAGTTTTTTCAGCTTGAGAAATGCCAAGCATGTTCTTCCCTTTTGGTTTTCTAATTACAAGTCTTTGCACATGTCATTATAATATTTTACTCTGTCTTCTCAAACCACCCTTTGAAATATGTTCAGCTCTTTTATTCATCATGTCCTCCATTCACTTTAGCTACTAGATGTTGAAGAGAAAGTTTCAGAGTCTCTTCTGACATCCATTTCGGTGTTTTCTTTCTTTCCTGTCTTTTTAATGACCTCTTGCTTTGTTCATGTAGACGTCCTTGATGTCATTCCACAACTCGTCTGGCCTTTGGTCATTAGTGTTTAATGTGTCAAATCTATTCTTGAGATGGTCTCTAAATTCAGGTGGGACATACTCAACACCATACTTTGGCTCCTGCGGACTTGTCTAATTTTCTTCAGCTTCAACTTGAACTTTCATATGAGCAATTGATGGTTTGTTCCACAGTCGGCCCTTGGCCTTGTTCTGACTGATGATATCGAGCTTTCCCATCATCTCTTTCCACAGATGTAGCCGATTTGATTCCTGTGGATTCCATCCAGCGAGGTCCATGTGCGTAGTCACTGTTTATGTTGATGAAAAAAGGTATTCACAATGAAGAAGTCATTGGTCTTGCAAAATTCCATCATGCAATCTCCAGCATTGTTTCTATCACCAAGGCCATATTTTCCAGCTACCAAACCTTTGTTTCCAACTTTTGCATTCCAATCACCAGTAATTATCAATGCATCTTGATTACATGTTCCATCAATTTCAGACTGTAGAAGTTGGTAAAAATCTTCAATTTCTTCATCTGTGGCCTGTGGTTGGTGCGTAAATTTGAATAATAATTGTATTAACTGTTCTTCCTTGTAGGCATATGGGTATTATCCTATCACTGACAGCCTTGTACTGCAGATATCTTAGGATAGAAACTTAGCTTACACAAAGCTCCACAGCCTTTCTCTATAAAGTAGCACCTTGTTTTTACACGCACGCACACACACACACACACACGCACACACACACCTCTCAACTACCTGCTTTTCCTGTTACTTGCAAACTAAGTAGATTAAAAATGTATATATATATATATTTTATCAAACATTCAACTTAAACTTTCTGCTGAGCGCAACATTTAAACTGAGTCCAAATTTAAAAAGTATTTCCCTTCTTCTTCTTCTTTTTTTAAATAACAGGATTCTATTTTTTTCTCCTCCATATGTAATACAGGCTTTTTTAATGTAAAAATGCCTTACTATAATGTGGCATTTTAAAAAAATTTGTTGTACAAAAAAGGTAAAAAGAACAATATAATGACTAACTCTATACTCATACCCTCCTTAAGGAAAAAAAAAATGAGACTTGTACGATGTAGCATTTTTTTCAGTCTGAAGAAAAAGTATCAAATTTGTTTGTCATTTCAGTCTTGTAAAATGCAGGCTCATCAGATCCTGAGTGCTAAGTGACCAGTCCTCTTTTTATCTTGTTTTGTTTGAGAGTTCCAACTAATTGATGAATTCACAAATTCTTCTGGAACTTTGCATGATAGTCATTTACATATAAAATTGCTTTAAGCACTTAAAAAAAAAAAAAAAGCCCATAAATTACATCATATCAGATGGTAATAGCATGATGCTAAAAGCAAGTGCTTAAGCAATTTCAGAGTAGGCCATCTAAAGAGCATTAACTGTCTGTGAATATTGAACTTAACCATACACAAAGCTTAGACTTTTTTTTGATTGTACTTTAGATGAAGTTTTACAGAACAAACTAGCTTCTCATTAAACAGTCAGTACACATATTGTTTTACGACATTGGTTAACAACCCCACGACATGTCAACACTCTCCCTTCTCAATCTTGGGTTCCCTATTACCAGCTTTCCTGTCCTCTCCTGCCTTCTAGTCCTTGTCCCTGGGCTGCCGTGCCCCTTTAGTCTCGTTTTGTTTTATGGGCCTGTCTAATCTTTGGCTGAAGGGTGAACCTGGGGTTTCTCCAGTCTCTGTCA